GCAATAGCCGGGCAGGGGGGAAGGGGGAGGAGCAAGGGACTATGGTAATCCACAAACTAGTAAATGAGCCTGAGTCACTGGGCTGTGTAGCAGGGATAATCCTCTGTGTAGCCGGCTGCTTCTTCTAAAGTCAGCTCCACAGATTTCGCTGGTGCTCCGGGAATTAGCAAATCAATGCCACGTAAGATTTACCCTTCCGAGCCACTCTTGGCTGGGGAGAACCTGTGGGGAGGGCTGCTCTGGGGCCAAAGATGAAAGCACCCCTGTCCTTGGCATCTGAGAGTTTTGTTCTGAAAATGGAAAAAAAAAAAAAAAAAAAGAACCAAAAACCAACCACAAAAAATCCTACTTTGGTTTCTTTTTTTTCTTTCTTGCTTCTCTCAACTCCACCTTTCTCCAACGGGTTTTTAAAGGCAGGGGTGAATCTCCCTCGCCCCACTATCATGGCATTGTCTGGCTCTCTGCTTTACTGTGACGCACGTGCTGGGCATGGAGTGTAGAATTTGAAAATGTGTCACCGGAGGTGTCTAACGGCGGCACAACTCAAGCGATTCAGTAAGCAAAGCCGCAGACTGAGAATCTCCAGAGTCCTTCATTGCATTCGCTCTTCCCCGGCAGATTTTGTGTGATTTTTTGTTGCTGTTGTTGTTCAAGTCACCCCCTTTCAGATCCTCAGCTTTGCCACTCGCAAAGACCCAATGACATGTGAGGTGGTGCAACTGGGCAAACTGAAGGGCTAAAAAAAGAAGGGAATGATAACTTGAAATCTAGGCAGTTCCTTACGTGCTATGTTTAGATCAAGTATCCTCGAACGGGAGGGCGGGCATCTCGTCGGTTCCACCCTTGGAACTTTAAATGGGATCAAACTGTCTGGGTTTCGGGAAGGAGACGCAGTAGGAATTCCCTTCTTTTTCCCGTTTTTATTCGCCAGAGGAAGAAGTGCAGTTGGTTTTGAATTAAATACAGATTTCTAAGAGATAATAACAGTATGAGGAAATTTAATATTGAGATGGTTGCAAAACAATGTCTATGCTATTTTGCCCAACGATGACAGAGAAAACATAGTGAAATGGAGCTGAAAGACTGCTTTCAGAGTATTTAGGATTCTCAGATACCAGCTTGGACAATGCAGGCCCAACTGTACGGGGCCCTAGGTCAGATTATGCAGTGGATGTCAGCGAGTTCTTGGTAAATTATTATTTATTTATCTGTAAAAGGCAGATATACAATGGCTGCTTTTTTTTTTTTTTAAGATTTTACTTTTTTAAGTCATCTCTATACCTAATGTGGGGCTCAAAACCCATAACCCCAAGATCAAGAGTCACATGCTCCACCAACTGAGCCAGCCAGGCGCCCTTATACATTTGGGGCTCCTGCTTCTTCTAAGATTTTGTTTCTTTATTTTAGAGAGATAGCATGAGCTGGGGGGAAGGGGTGGGGGAGCACAGGTGGAGGGGCAGAGGGAGAGGGAGAAGAGTGGGGGAAAGAATCTCAAGCAGACTCTCTGCTGGAGCATAGAGCTCATGACCCTGAGATCATGACCCGAGCCGAAACCAAGTGTCGGACGTTTAACTGACTGAGCCAGCCAGGTGCCCCTATACATTTGCTGCTTTTTTTTTTTTAAGATTTTATTTATTTATTAGAGAGCGAGCGAGCGAGAAACAGCATGAGAGGGGAGAGAGTCAGAGGGAGAAGCAGGCTCCCCACTGAGCTGGGAGCCTGATGTGGGACTCCATCCCAGGACTCCGGGATCACGACCTGAGCCGAAGGCAGTCGCTTAACCAACTGAGCTATGCAGGCACCCATACATTTGCTTCTTAAATTTAGGATCTTACCTTTCTTATTTTCCTTCCTTTACATAAAATCAGGGAAGGAAAAATAGCCTCCCTCTCCTATTTCACATGCCAGAGCAATTAGTGGCTGTTAAGAAGCCATCTTACATACCATGTGGTTAGTTACGTGGTCTAATGCCCTGGTTACAGTTAATCACAGGCGCTAAAGTGGGGATTTGGTTAGTGGGGTCAAACAGAGAAGTGGTAATCTGATTAGCCAGTTGCTTTCTGAACCTGTTGGTTAAAATAGTGGCTGTTGAACTGAATGGGGAGCAGTTTTCCTGGGTGAGGTTGCACTTCAAGTCTTAGGAACCCAGTGCTTCCCAAAGCTCTCCTATGGAACGTTCTCCTCAGAGAATGCCCTACAGCCTGGAGATAGTCTTATCAACCCCTCAGACTTGCTCTTATCTTTTTCTGCCTGTAGCAAGGTCAAAGATGACCCCATGGCGATGGACTGAATTCCGGATTAGTCCATTTTATATCTTTTAAAAAGGGCCAATCTGATTTCTCTTCCTGCTGGGTTTTCCAGCTGGCAGGGTCAGAGGTCTGAGTGGTGGTTAGCTTGCAGTCACCGGAGACCTCCACAGAATGGTGAGTGGTATGGGTATACACAAGCCTAGAGGTATAGAAGGCACTATTGCACTAAGGGGATTTTGTTTTAAATGCTGGAAGTCAATGACCATGATACTGAGAGATCCCTGAACTGTGCAGAGAGTGAAGTTACCTTCACCTTGCTCCTTTTTCATCCCCCTTCTGACTCTGTCCTGGATACCGTCTCTTCCTCTTCTGGTGCCCCCTTTTCCGGTGTCTCTCAGTCCCAGAGCAATGGCACAATGCCTTTCTCCTCTCTTAGCCAGCAGCCTTCCAGCCTTGGATCCCTGGGGGTTCTTTAAGGGAGGGATCACTCTGGGGCGGGGGTGTGTGTGTGGGGAGTTCTGTTTGCTTCCTCTGTTAACCACTTTAGAACAATGCCCTTGTGCTTACCTGTAGGTTGGGATTGGTGCAAAAGCTCCTAAAAGGGGAGGCAATTGGTTGTTTTTGGTTCATCTGCTCATCTGCTGCCACCTAGTGGTTCAATCTCCTTTAGCACCCTGTGTAAAGTGGAGGGCACGTTACCAACAGTTCTGCATTGCCTTTTATCTCATTTTTTCCCCTCCCTGACCTCACTTGTCCCCTTTTCTTACCTCCTTATCCATCACATACACAGAAAGCTTTCTTTTTTTTGTGCTCCTGGGTCAATCTGGAAGTGAATGGCTGGCATAAAAATCTTTTAAGAAACTTGGAATGCACTGAAACATCCCTGTTTGCTCTCCAGCTTCTCTCTTTTGGTGATGTGAAATGGGTGTCTTACTGCAGGGCTAGAAGACGGCTGTTACAGATCTGAGGAAGGCTACTGCCGACCCAGGGCTGCTCTGAATAGGCAGTTCCAGAGAGAAAATTTCTATAGTTGTGCAGTTGCCCATTTTTCAAAATTTCTGCACAGCGACTGGCCCTAATAATAGCGAACCCTTATTGAGCAGTTACTATGTGGCAGGCATTGTTCCAAGTATGTTACACGTGTTGACTCTTTAATCTTCCTAATGACGCAGTGAAATGGACTACACCCTTTCTAAGGTGAGGAAGATGAGGCATACGTAGGTCAAGCAACTTGCTCCCCTAGTAAATGGGGAAATGGGATTTATTCTCAGGCTGTCTGCTTCCAGAATTTGTTCTTAACCACTATGTTTGTTGCCTCTTTAAGACACAGATAACATGAGACCACAGGAAGAGGAACAGGGCTGTGTACACATAAGCCCTTCCCAAAGCACTTCCTTGGCCTTTGCCTGGGACTTGTGATGCAAGACACATTGTGGTTGTGAGCTGAGGGCCAGGAAGGAACTCTCCAATGTGCTGACTCCAAGGACTTGCTTCTAGCCCTGTCTCATTTCAGGGATTCAGCACATAAGGAAAAACCACCAAGAAGGCCAGCCAAAGGAAGTCTGAGAAGCCAAGCCAAGCAGTCAGGCTCGGATTCCAGAGATGATTCTGTCCTGGAAGATAATCTCAAGCCCCCCCCCCCCCCCATCTGGGTTCTTGTTTTCTCTCTGGCTCTCCTTTTCTACTTTGTCTGGAGGTGGCAGGAACACCCAGAACTAGCCTTTTGAGATCACTGCAAAAAGAAATTTTTTTAAAGAGTTTTTTTTTTTAAAGACTATTTATTTATTTGAGAGAGAGAGAATGAGAGAGAGCATGAGAGGGAAGAGGGTCAGAGGGAGAAGCAGACTCCCTGCCGAGCAGGGAGCCCGATGTGGGACTCAATCCCGGGACTCCAGGATCATGACCTGAGCCGAAGGCAGTCGCTTAACCAACTGAGCCACCCAGGCGCCCAGCAAAAAGAAATTTGACACTATCACACACTGCCAGGAACCAAATATGAAGTTTATTTGTGCTTTTCCAATCAGGTGAAACAATCAGCAACTTCCTCCTCCAAAGGTTTCCTTCTCTCTTACCTTCTCTGTGACAAGCCTGTGGAGAGGGCAGAAGTGGATGTGTGGATATGTTTAAAGGCGGGATGAAAAAAAATAAAGGTGGGATGAGCTATGACAAGGCAGGTGTAGTAACAGATCTGCTGTCTGTGCCTTTTCCCACTTGTCTCACAAGGCAGTTTTTTCAGTTTACTACAAGGTGTCAGAGGCTTGGGTCTCTTCAGTAGAGAGAAGAGTCCATGGTGTTGGTGGGGTGGCTGGGGTAGGGGATAGGAACTCGTGACGATCGGTTTCTTCATAAAGGCAGGCCAGAGACAAGGATATGTGTCCTAAGGAGGAAAAATATATAAATTTGCTTTTATGATTCAAAACAAAGATGGTATAAAAGGCACAAAGTAAAGAGTGTCTCCCTCCTACCCTCCCAGTCATGCACTTTGTCCTTGGAGGCAACCAGTGCTATGGTCTCTATTCTCCCAGAGATATCTTCTACACACAGAAACAACTGGAGATTCCCCCCTCCCTGCCCCGCTAAACTGCCACCTTTTTTTTCAGTAAGCTCTACACCCAACTTGGGGCTTGAACTCATGACCCTGAGATCAAGAGTTGCATGCGGTATGGACTGAGCCAGCCAGGTGCCCTTGGAGACCCCCTTTTTACACAAATGGAACACATTAGGCCTACCCTTCTTTGCTGCTTTTTTTCCCCTTTTCTTACCAACATCAGTGCAGAGAGCTTCCTTTTCTTTTTTGCTGTTGCATAGTATTTGATTCTATGAATGTACTACAGTTATTTGGCCAGGTCTCTACTGAATATTTAGGTCATTCTAGTGGTGTGCTATTACAGACAAGCAACCTTGTGTGTATATCCCCCTTTTTTTTTAAGATTTTATTTTTGAGTATTCTCTACACCCAGTGTGGGGCTCAAACTCACAACCCGGAGATCAAGAGTCACACGCTCCATGGACTGAACCAGCCAGGCGCCCCATGTGTATATCCTTTTGCATGTGTGCAAGTGTAGCTATAGGATTAATTCCTAGCTGTAGAATTGTTGGGTCGAAGAGAAAGAGGAGATAAACAGCTGTGTCATTAAATAAATGACGAAGTGAAGTAGAGTGAATGTGTTTAGATTTGCCAGAAGAATTCCAGTGCTTCTGCATTCATGGCCAGGAAATGGAATCCTCGTTAGGAAAGTCATAAAGTCAGACCTTGAGTGACAGGCCTGAGCTGGTGCTTTATGGTTTTACAAGGGCATCATAGAGTTATAAGATCTATACTTATGTATCCTCCTAAATGAATCCACTCAGCTGCTGCTGACACTACAATGGGCCCTGGTCTGGAAGATTCCAAGGATAGTTTGTGTCACTGTCATGCAAGTCATCCTTCACCCCCAGTAGTAAAGGCTGCTCCCCTTTCAGGCCAGAAGAAGGAGCTAGAGACATCATGCTAGCCTTGGGTGCCCTCCATCACCATCCTAATTTTAAACAAAACCCACTCTGCACCAAAGCTATGCTACCCGAAGCAGGCACTCCCTCCACTGTTTTAAATGTGATGTGTTTCTTGCTCATAAAACACAAGCTATATTCTTTATTACCTAAAAGTTAATTTGATTATGTTCCATAGGAATCCTCATACTGGATTCCTAGTCTTGGCCAATCATATCGTAATACATGGGCATTTGGGGGAAATGGTACTCTGGATTTGAGAGCTGGGGATAAAAAAAGCCAGACCCATCCTTGTGGCAAAAATTCCTAGTTGTCCCCAAATATCCATTCTCCTCTTTTTATTTATTAATGAATCCTCTCCCATCTCCACTTTTAAGCTGGACACAGGTTCTACCTAGAATAACTCTATCTTTCTGTCCGAGTTCTGGCCAATAGAATGTAAGCTGCGGTGTGTGCAACATCTGTGAAATGTCCTTAAAACAAGTGGGTGTACCCTTCTTCTTTGATTTCATCTTTCCTGCTGGGTAGGGTACAGACATGGTAGCTGGAGCTGGAGCATCCACCTTGGGCCGCGAGGTAAGCTTTGGAATGTCGGGCACATGCAGTGGAGCAAAAAGAGAAGATATCTGGAACCTGGGTACCTTGGATTATTTACCTCCAGATTTTTTCGGAAGAGAAAAATAAATTTCTATGTTAATTACATCATTGTTATTTTGAGTTTTCTTTCACATGTCATTGAACCTAATCCTAACCGACACAGTTCCCCAATTTAGGACAAACAATTCCAGCTTCATCTTGTTTCAGTAGTAAATCATTAGCATCACTTGTAGAAGTGAAGAAAAGCCACTGGCAACTCTTATCCTTCACAGAGAGATGAAGGCATGACCAATGGATTTATTGGTAATAGTTTTGATACCTGGGCTTCATATTTCTTCCATGTCAAAGGCAGTGATGAGATACTCCTTTGGAACAATCCCAATGAGGCTGTTCAGTTCTCCTACCCACCAGCCATACGCGTTATACTCCTGAAAAATGAAAAGAGAGTGGTTTCAGTTGGAATTTAGTCACGTTTCTGTTAATCTCTGACAGTGATTGCATGGGAGATTATGTTGGGCGGTTTCTTTGTCGACACTACAGTATGACTTAACACCCCTGATGGGATTATTAGATTAAAAAACAAATCTCCCAGAGGAGGAAAGCAAACTCTACCTTCATTTTGCCGTCTCCCTGTCCACATTGTAAACCTAGTATATTTGATGCCATTGCTGAACCTAAAGAGCATGTCTTTTATCAAGCAGAGTGGAATGGCTTCTTCTGAGAAAGTTGGGCACATCCTAAATGCCAGAACACTAAAGATATTCAGGGAGTCAGGTCATAGTTCAAATCAATAATATTTACTAAGCATCGTCTATGTGCAAAGTGCTGTTTGAGATCCCATGAGATATATAATGATGAATCAGAGTATTGCTTGCTCCCTAGGAGCTTACAGCATAGAGTAATGGGCTTTGGAGTCAGACAGACTGGGATCCAATCCCCACTTGGTCATTTAGTAGCCGTGTGACCTTACACTCTCCTAGATTTAACTTCCTTTTCTGGAGGAGTAGGCATAATGTCATCTCTCCCCTATGTTGTGGGAATATAAGTGTCTGATGCATAGTAGGTGCTCTAAACATTAGATTCTTCCCCCAGAAGATTTGGGAGGTTGACAGGCACATCAGTAAAGACAGGCAGGACATAGAAGCCCCAGAGAGGGGCAAATAAGGAAGGGAATGAGAGGGTGTAAAAGAACGAGCAATCACAGGGTTGGGAGTGGGGCGCCCTGAATACAGAAGAGCTTTTCTTTTTTTTTTTTTTAAGATTTTATTTATTTATTTGAGAGAGAGAGAATGAGAGACAGAGAGCACGAGAGGGAAGAGGGTCAGAGGGAGAAGCAGACTCCCTGCTGAGGAGGGAGCCCGATGTGGGACTCGATCCCAGGACTCCAGGATCATGACCTGAGCCAAAGGCAGTCGCTTAACCAACTGAGCCACCCAGGCGCCCCAGAAGAGCTTTTCAAAAGCATAGCAGATGTTAAACACTATGGGACTGCTTCTGAAAGCACCAGAAAATATTTTCTTTCTTTTAAAGGACGTAAAATTTAGGAATACATAGGGAATATCATATATTCTAGTTCAACTGCATATGGGCCACCATGAAGCTGTCTTTTTACACACTTGGCTGTTGAATTCTACTAGGAAAAAATAGAAAAGAAAGAAAACCAGGTTGGTGACACAAAATTCCAGGTCAACTAGTCCTCCTTCTTTTCCTTTGGATAGCTTATCTCCCCTCCTCCAGCTCTGCCTCCCCCACCCTTCCAGCAGATGACCTCTTTTCCACCTTCAAAAAGAAAAGAGAAGCCATCAGATGTGTCAACCTTCAGCCACCAAAAGAGGAACTTACCTGTATTGACAATCACCCCTCCTTCCCATTAAAGTGGAGGAGGCGTCCTTCCTCTGGTTTAAGACTCTTTCTCATCATGTGTACATAAGAGCATCATGTGGGCTCCTATGTCCTGCCTGTCTTTACTGTTGTGCCTCTCAACCTCCCAACGCTTCTGGGGGAAGAATCTAATGTTTAGAGCACCTACTATGCATCAGACATTTATATTCCCACAACATAGGGGAGAGATGATATTATCCCTACTCTTCCAGAAAAGGAAGTTAAAGCTAGGAGAGCGTAAGGTCCCGCAGCTATGGTTGAAGACTCTCCCTGGTAACATGGCCTTGTAACCCTTCCACTCTCTTTATTTCTTAGAGGTGAGGTTCTGTGGAGTCTGACTTCTGCCTCTAATATAAATGGCTCCTTTCATCAGCATGAAATGTGTTCAAGTTTCTTTTGTCTTTGGAAACAGTGATTAAATAGTCCCCACCTCATGCCTACTTCCCATTTCTACTCATCTATGCTAATTCACGGTCAAACTTACTGAAAGAGTTTGCTTCACTTTCTACCCCAACTTCTTGCTTTCTGTTCCACCTTCAAGCCTCTCTACTCAGGCTTCTGCTCCTATCACTCCACTGACACTTTTTCTCCACGGTCTCCTATAACCTCCGATTGCTCAAATTCTATGGTATTTCTCGGTCCTTAACTTACTTGATCTCTCAACAGTGCTGGCAACTATGGACCCTTCTTGAGGCATTTTATTTTCTTAGTTTCTGTGATAATTATACTCTCCGGGCTTCCCTCTTAGCTCCTTGGTTGCTTCTCATTCTCCTTTGCGAGCTCATCTTTCTCTACCCTTCCTTTTGATGTGGTTGTTTCCAGCATTCTGTCCTGGCCCTCTTCTGATTTGATGCACTTTCCTTGAGCAATCTGATATACCTCTTTGCTTTAGTCACCATGTAAATGACTCACAACCATAGCTCCAGCCCAGATCTAAGTGTTGGTCCTAATGCCAAGTGCATGTCCATCAAGCTGCTCAAACTCAATATATCCTAAATTTAACCCATCATCCTGCCTCTGTCTCCATTCCTACTCCCAACCAGCTCTACCTCCCGTGTTCTCTATCTCAGTGGATGGTAACACATGCACTCTGTTAATCAAGCCAGAAACTCAAGAGTCATTTCCAGTTGCACCTTCCTCTTCCAGTCAGGCTTTGAGTTCTGTTGATTCTCTTTTCAGAGTATTACGGGAATCCATCCACTTCTCTCCATTCCCATTGCCAATACCCTTGTCATGTCACTGTCATTTCTCATGAGGACTACAGAAAAAACCTCCAAGCTCATTTCTGTATCTCCATTCTTGTTCCCCTCCAATCTAGTCTTCATTCTGGGGCCAGAATCATTTTAATGCACATTGATAAAAAATCACTGCTTTGCTTGAAACCTTTAAGTAGGTTCCCACTGCCTCTTGTCAATGTCTTAATAAGGTGGACAAGGTTGTGCATGACCTGGTCCTGTTCACTATTCAGCATTGTCATTTACCCCCTAAATCTAGTGGACCCTTAGTAAAAGAGACTTTGTATCTGCTACTCCCATGGGCCACAGGCTCTCTTAGCTTGGAGCCTTTCCTCTGCCTGTTTAGCTGCTATTTCCCTTCACCCTTTCATGGAGCTCACTCCTAAGCAGCCTTCAGATCTCAATTCCTGGGCTTCTCTAGACTCTCTAGAAGGTTCTCTTTGCCACTCTCTGTGTGGGTGCTGCAACTCTGTACTGTGTATTGTGTCCTGTGCTTCCCTGGACATGAGTTCATCACACCGCCTTGTATCTGCTGCCTTTGTCTCACTGCCAGTCACCAGGTGGAAAGTCCCGTGAGAGCTGGAACTTTGCTGGTTTTGTTTGCTGTTCTACTCCCAGCACTCGGCATGGTAGCTGGCACAGACAGGGGACAAAAAATACTTGTTAAATGAGGTTATGAAGAAATGAAGGGAGCAGTGGGATTTATTCTTTCAGTTGAGCAGATTTAGTTTCAACTAACTCCAAGATATTCCCCTGGTGATTGAACTGGTTGTGGCAGGAAGAGAGCAACTGCCTTTGGAGACAGTTTCCCCAAATGGCTCCCTAAATACCATGAAGAGAGTCTCAAATGCCATACCAAGGGAGGCTGAGTTGATCCTAAAAAGAATGGGGAATTACCTTTTAAGAACCAGTCTTAAATAACTGCATGTGTCTACCACCCAGCCCACTGTTTCCCCACACCTTCTCATGCCCCCAACTCTCCCCCAGGCCAACTTCTCCCTACAGTCTGCATTGCCTTGTGGGAAATTACCCAGAGCCCCTCAGCCTCTGCCTGTCAGGATGTTTTAAACTCCTCTCCGTACAAATTATGTTACTGTCCATTTTCCAACACTGAAGTTAGGGCAGTTTCTGCCTTAAGTTTTCTTGTAGCGTTGCCTTTCGCTTAGCATGTTGCTGGAATGCCATTTCCACAAAGCCTTGCTGTGAGAGAGACACATATTCTGTCTTCCTCTCGTACTGTTACTCATAAAAACCCTAGCTTTAGCTCTTCTGCTACCTCACAGGCGGGAGGGTGGGCACAGTGTCGTCTGATAGTCTTTTGATCGAAGTCAACTTGCTGAAACACGTGTGAAGGGTGGTCTTCCACCTGCCATATGGTGTCATCTTCATCACCTGAGGGGCTCAGACCAGGCATTCCCTCCGTAGGGACTGTCCCAGACTCCTGACTTCGACTCATGCTCTGTAGCATCTGCCTTTAGCCGTAATGCTAGGAGCAGGGACCAAGCCTTAGGAAGGTGCTCTCTGCCAACCCGAAGAGGGTGCAAACAGGAAGCAGATGAGGCTCAGCAGGACACCTGCAAAGACCAGGCTCCCAGGCCGTGTGCTCTTGCTCGAGGGGAACACTGACCCTGCCGACCGCAGATGGAGAAGCCTCACCACAGTGCTGAGAACTGAAATGAGTGAAATCAACTCTGCCCTTCAAAACAAAAGAGCAGGCAGAGAATAAGGAGGATGGCACAGTCTCAGAGACCATAAGTACCCTGCTGTGGGAGCCTAGGAGCTTAATCAAAGCACCTACAAGTCTTGGGATCTGACTGGCTTTTCCAGATTTCATCCCTTGGCTGGATACCCAAAAAGGGCTGCAGGGCTGAGATATTTAAAGCATGAATGGAAAATTTCTAGGCTTCTCTTCCACTACCACCTCCCATGCATTGCTCCAGCCCAGTCTGAACACCACGAGGTATTTTAAAATAATTTCTACTTTGATGAATTGCTGGGGAGTCCACAATTGCTCATAATCAAAGGGAGAAAAATGCAAATGAGATCCGGCCGAGAACTATCACCACCAAACGTTTATTTCACTGCACAGTGCCAAAAAGAATTAAAACAACATTAAACTCACAGCAATCATGTTTAAACCCTCGTTTCCAAGTGCCAAATTGCACCACTCTGGATCATACAGATGTTCGTTAATTATGCTAATTTTTATTAAACTATTAAAATGGAGAGAGTACTGGCTCAGCCAGGCAGACCCCAGCTCTGAATGAACTCTGTTCTTGTCTAGAGGTGCTAATTTATTGCATTTTTATTAA